TCTGACTAATTAACAGTATTCATGTATCTCATCACAAGGGAAAAAACTAACTATGTGTGGTGATGGATGTTAACTAAACTTATTGTGGTGATCATTTTGCAATATATACATATTTCAGATCATTATGCTGTACCCCTTAAATTTATATAATGTTCTATGCCAATTATATCTCAATACAATTGGAGGAAAAAAAGAAAGCAACACAATAAAATATGATGCTGTGGAGGGCTGAGATTTAAATAAAGCAAGCAAACAATAACCAATATGCCATCTATTAATCATTAGTTAGTAACTTTCTAATAAGCTTTTAAGCTCAATAGTTGAGACAGGGCCTTCTCCCCCTATGGCGTTACTTAGAGTTTAAAGACAGTGCTAGCTACACAACAGGTTTTAGGTAAAAGTCTGGGGAGGATTTAACATTGTATTGAATCTAACATTTAGACACATTAGATGAGCGTCCTGTGATCGATCATTTCACTCTGGGGTCAGAATATTTTAGAAAGAGTAAGTCAGTGACTTGCATACAGGAAGTGCTAAATGAATGAATGAATGAATGATGGTTTCTTAAAAAAGGTAACATTTAAGTTACACTATTTATCATATCAAAAGCCTATTGGATGGGTACTACTGTTGACCCTTGAACAACACAGGTTTGAACTGAGGAGGTCCACTTATATACAGATTTTTTTTTCATGAAATACTACAGTACTACACCATCTGTGGTTGGTTGAATCCACTGGTTACTGAACCTTAGATAAGGAAGGCAGACCGTAAAGTTATATGCAAATTTTTGACTGCACAGAGGGTCAGCATCCCTAACCCCTGTGCTGTTGAAGGGTCAACTGTATTTGCAACTCCACTTCACAGATGAAAACTTTGAGGTTTTGAGTTGTTCACAGCCTTGCCCAAGGTCACGCTGCCAGAGAAGTAGAGATAGAATTCAAACCCAGGGAGTTTGATTCCAGTAATTCTTAACACCATGCCGTGCTGCAACCCCCCACCCCAACCCCCCAGGGTAACTGCAGATAAATCTGGCTTTGGGAAGCGCTTTACTGGCATTCAATGTTTTTGTCTGGTCTCTTCCTTGTCATTTTGTTTTCATGTTTTGGATATATTTAGGTTTTCTTTCCTATTTCTTTTGAGCACTGGAAGGTTAGTCTGTTCTCATAGATGTAATAGTATGTACATTTCCTTTCTCAGTTTCAGGGCTGACTAAAAAGTTAGGTGAGGCAGTTTTCTGTGATTATCGATTTTAAGGGGTGCCAGGAAGGTGTCCCTACCCACAAAATCCCCCCACTCACTTCCTGATGTTTAAAATTCCACTAACATGGCTTCACTGCTTGGATTCAAGTCATGTCCTCTGTTAAAATTCAAATACATCGGGGACAGATAAGTAAACTGTAAGCCAAGCAGCCTGCCTGTCATCCTTCCACCCATCCTTTCCTTCAGTAAGTATTCTGGAGACAGACTCTAGCTGAGTAATAGTTGCTGAGATGAAGGGTAAGTAAGTGGTCTCTGCCCTCAGGAAGATCTTGTTTCTGAAAGGAGACAGATGTGAAAGAAATACAATATGGTGTTTTAGGTACTATGATGGAGGCATTTATGAGGTGTAGGGAAACCCAAAAGGGATAAATACACTGCTGTACTTGGAGACATGAGTGTAGATATGCCTTAAGCCTGAAGTCCTTCACACTTTAGTAAGAATGAATTATAAAGACTCTTTTCCAGGAGGCATAGTTTGGTGATAGGAGAAAAAAGTTTAGAATGAGTGTTAATTCACTGGAATGTTATATATAGGCAGAGGGAACAACAAAAAGAAAAAAAGTCCACAAGGAAAAACCTGGAATCAAAGTCAACACTGAGCTGATTTCAGAAATGAGAGGAGATTGGGCCCTTCTCATTTATATAAGCCTGCCCAATTGTCAGGCCATGTGTTAAAACACTATATTAAAAGAAAAATTTTTGCAAAAGGGCTACAAGGAAAAAAAAAAAGTTGCTGTGATTGACTGACAGCCACAGAGGCAAGCATTTCTTAACTGAACATATCAGGGTCAACAAACCTTCTCTATGAAGTGCCACAGAGTAAATATTTTAGGCTTTGTGAGCCATATGGTCTCTGTAGTGGCTACTCAATACTGTGGTTGCAGTGCGAAAGCAGCCACGGACAGTATTTAAATGAATAGATGTGGCTGTGTTCCAACACAACTTTATTTACAAAATCAGGTAGTGGGCCGAATTTGGGCCATAGGCTATATAGTCTGCTAGCCCCTGGTTTATACCATCTCATAGGCATATTAAAGGCCTAAGTTAAATAAGTTTAAGTATGTTTTAAATAAAGTTTAAATAAGTTTTTGAGGTGAGTCCCCCAGCTCCTCAATGGACATCAGGGCCTCGTGCAGAGCCCTTTACCTTACACTATCTGACTACAAGGCCTGGGAAATAGCCACCTGCAGGAAGAAGCCCTTTGAACAAATGACTGCTGAAAAGACTGCAGTGACAGGAAGGAGAGAGACAGAGGGAGCAAAAGACAGGCAGACAGAGGATCTTTGTGCCAAAGACGGTTAGCTGTTTACCAAAAATTCATGCTTCTGGTGAACTTTTGATTAAAAAATTATAGATTGAGTGGTCTGCAGCTGATGCAAAATTACTTCTTTTTAGCAGTAATGCATGAATGTTTATTAAACATATTGTTTATAGTTACTTAGCCTTTCATTTATTCATTCAATAAACATTGCCTACTACATGCCAAGTATTGTACTAAGTCCTGAAAAAAACAATACTGAATAATTCAGGGTCATTACCAGATACCAAGATGTCTAAATTTCTTCCCCTCTGATTCCCTGTTGTGATTTTCTGTAACCTTCCACTATTTTGTAGTATGTGATTGTGACATGCTGAACCTCACAGAACTTTTTAAGGCCTCAAGCCCTCTGACCAAGTTTTCCCTTTGCATCTTTTAAGACTATTTCTGTTATTGCCTCACAAAGATTCTGCAGGTCAATAAAAATTACCTGCATGTCATCTTTTGCAAATGGCTTGGTGTGTCCCATCAGTTACAGCCTTTATATCTGCTAACTCCATCTTACACACAAAGCTGGACAGACTTTACCTGCTCTAGGAAGCATTCCTTGATCAAAGACTCTCAGATATATATATCTCCATCCACGATGCTTTCTCTAGTCAACTATCCACTCAAAATACCCACTCAGATGTCCCACAGGTCTTCAAATTCAACATGTTCAAACTTACACCCCACCTACCCATATCCCCTTCTCCCTTCCAAGGTTACCTAGATCAGAGAATGGAACCATTTGCCACCTAACAGTGGAAGCCATAAGCTCGGAAGTCCTTCTTGACAACTTCCTTCCCCTCTCCCCTGATGGTCTACTATTCACAAAGTCTAGGTGATGGTATCTCCTGAACCGAGATACTTCCTTCTAACTCCACTGCCTTCATCAGAGCCTAACCTACCAACCTCTCATACCTGAACATTCTAATTGTTCTGCTGGAATCCACTCTCATCTAACTCTCATGTCTACCCTGTATCCATATGATCATATCAATCCATTCAGTGGTTTCACACTGTTCTTAGGGTAAAGAACAAAATTCCTAAACACCCTATTAGACTTTGCATGATTGACTCTAAACAACATCATCTTTTTCTGACACTACTCTCTTTTTCATTTTCTCTGACACATCTGAATTAGGTGTCATTTTAGAGCTTTATTCTGGTTCACACCTGTGGAAGATTTCCATTAAAGGACCCTTTCTTCACCAACCCTTGCATCCAAACACTTTGCCATATAATACTTAAATGTTCTCCCACTGCTGGTGACACATAATTTTTTGCCCTTGAGTTCAGCCACGTGACTTGCTTTGGCCTGTAGAATTAGACAAGGTACAGAGCCCAGGGTCCAAGAGGCCTTGCATGTTTCCATTTATCCTCTTGAACCTCTACCCTCACCACAAGAACATGCCCCGTGTAGAAATTTGGTTCCATGAAAAGGATGAGGGACATGTGGAGTGAACTACCTAGCTGAGCGCAGCCTAGGTCAACTGATCCTCAATGGACACACAGATTTATAAGAAACAATACCTGGTTGTTGTTTTAAGCCACTGAGGTTTGGGGTGGTTTGTTATGTAGCAATAGCTAGCTGATATACTAACACAATACTTTGTATTTGCCTATGGTTTTGTAAATATCCTCTACCTTAGCTGAGATTTAGGTCAACTAGGGTTAAAAATAAACAAAGACTGCATAGATGGATCTCATGCTTCCTACTATGAACAGCAAACTTGCTTGAGGATTGAGGTCCAGTAATAAAACAATAGCTAATTTCCTGAGGATTCCTCCATGACTTTCCAAATGAACTGAGGGCTTTCCCACCAGTCCTACAAATTGGGTGGATGTTGGGCTTGAATCTTTCCCTTACTGCCACAGAAGCTCTTCATCCCTGAAAGAAATGGAAAATCCACTGCCACAGCTGGGGGACCAAGCTGAAAGTTCAGAGCTGGTTTCTGAAGTGACACAATCTACCTGCATTCTAGATAAAAGCACAGTCTGTCATAACAGGCATTTTAAAGGTCATCCTAGATTTAAACAGCACATCTTGTTCCTTTTATCCTTGTCCTCTGAATTTCTCTTTGAAAAGTTGTTGAATGTTTCTGGCCTTTACATTTTCTCTTCCTGACAAAACCTATTACTGGTGGATGTTAATTAAGCCACAGGACCAAGTCATTGACAATTCAAAATGAAAACCATGCTCACCTGTGGCTGTTATACCCTGCCCCAAAAGCCACAGCAAAAGGCTGGGCGCTTAAAGGAGACTCTTGAAATTAAGACTCTTTCACCCATAATATGAAGAGTGACTTGAGGGATGTAAAACAAACTGCCCTGATTAATACATCATCAGGTTTGCTATGTCAGAACAGAAGTAAAAGACGTAAAAGTAAACAGTCAACAAACTTCATAGCACTAGAGAAAATAAAGACACACATACCTGGACTGATGCAATTCTTCTCTCTGAAATAAATTTTAAAAATACATGTTTTAGTCGTGCTCAAACCCACCCAAAATTCCAAAGCAGACATCTTGAAGGGAGAGGTCATTAACTTTCCTAGCTAAAATGTTTTGGAGTTTTTCTTTTCAGGGGGAGAACGTTAGAAATTTAAGTAGTTTGCTCTTTTTGCCCTTTTAAGCCAGCCACGCCAGGTGGTCTTCACATAGCGTGGATTTGCAAGAGGGCCACCTTTACTATCTAACGACTGACAGACAATCTCTAGCCTGGGTTCTTTCTTAAAGTGCCTTCAAGTATATTGAAGAAGAAAGTGAGCTCGACCTCCACGCTCCTTCCTCAAACTGCTGCACCCCTTTTACTTGACAGCCAACTGTCCTAAAAACTGTGCGTCCCCCCAGCCGTCTCCCAACACAGCACCCCACTCCGCGACCGGGCAATATGGCAACCTGGAGACCTACTATGCTTTGCATCCACCAAATGAGAGGCAGGAGGCTTAGAACTGTGTTACCTGAGGCCTGGGGAGCTGTGGGGCGCGGCTGGGTGCTGGCTGGCCTCCACTCCGTGGAAGGGAGGCCTGAGGAAGCGACCCCTCGTTGAGGGGCTGAGGCACGGGAAGGGCAAGCTCATCACTGGGCGCCATTTGGAGCTCAAACGAGTCGGCTGCGTTGAGTGTCCTTTCGGGGTCCGGAGGCAATCTTGAGTGGAGTCTCAGGGACCACAGGGAGTGCGAAGAACTCCTCTGGGTTTCCAAATAGCCCGCTAGAAAAGCAATGCGAGGTGCCGGAAGCCTCCTTTCAGCTGCCCCCCCCCCCAGGGCGGGCCCTTTAAAGGCCGCCGGCTGAGGTGGCGCATGCGCAGTGCCGTGCGCAGGCCCGCGCACACTCTCGCAGCTGCGGCCCCTTAACCTCCTCAGTGTGGGCGAGGTGGAGACGCGGCCCGGGGCTTGCTGGTCAAAGTGGAGAAGTTTCCCCTGGTTCTGACAGTGCTTCTTGGACAGGCTTTCCGGGGGGGGGGGTCGAGGAGAGGGCCCGCAGTCTGGGCGCTGCACCTCTGGGAAGGATGGTTCCGTCTTCTCCACGCCACTAAGAGGCCCGGTTGCTGGAAGCTTCCAGGGGACGCCGTCAGAGTTGCTGTTCTCCCGACCGCACTGAGGTTGTTCCAGTTCCACCTTCAGGTGCCTCTCTTCCTCGGGTGTGTCTTCGTCCTTTTCCAGAGGATAACTGCAAGCAGGTGGCTGCATCTTTAATGAGGAAGAGCAGAGTGCGGAATCTGTTGCAAACAAGGAGACGGAGGTGAGAAAAAAGGTGTCTGAAATTTCACATAAAAACTTACAATTCACCAGAGCAGATAGGGAATGCCCAGTTAACATTAGTATCTGTTATGTTTTGTAGATAATTAACATAAGTGAGTCCAGTTTTCCCGACTAAATTGTTTACGTATTGAAATTTGTTTATGCTACCGAATTAAGTCGTTTGGACCTTGCTTTGTGCCTCGATGGGGGAGAGTTCTTTTTTCCATTGGGGCTCGAGTAGGTGAATACGAACCCCAAGCAGAGATGGACACAGTACAAGCTTTACTTAGTGGCCGAAGAATGGAGAAGCGGGAACCGCGTTTGCAGACCAACCTCTCGCCCACGTGGCGAGAGTGATTTAAAGAGTAAAGACAAGGGAGGAGGATTGAGGCTAATTTATGGGGAGGCTTATGCGTTAGTCTACCAGGAAGGGGCAGGGCTTTTTCCGAGGGAGTGGGGTGCCACCCCCTTTTTATCCTTTTTTTGTCCTTAATGTCTGGTCCTGGCCGCCGGTAGGTGTGTCACATAATATGTTAATATAGTAAAATCAATGTATAATGAGACTTAGGATCTGCTGGGCGTCAGATTCATGCCATCTTAGTCCCAGCTGGTTTCATCTGTTTTCTTTGTTCGTAGCTTTCTTATCTCTGGACCCTTTAACTTAAAGATTTGTGTTCACTCCTGCTAAAGGTGGGGTGGGGGGCATTTGGCAGGTTTTGAGCAAGGACACTCCTGCTAACTGTGGAGGTTGATGGGTTCTGATTAAAGACCTGGAACAGCTCTGGCAACATTTACCGGTTACTTAATATCCCTTCCAGTTCAAACAAAAAAGCTTTTAAAAACCTTGGTGATCTAAGAGATTTCTTGGAAGCCATAAAGCTCATCACCTTTTGATTATTCCATTTTAAGAGAATCAAATATACATTCAATTTCCCTTACGTTCTGCATTTATATATGTATGAATATGTGTATATGTGCTTTGGAGTATTCCAGGGATATAAGGATGAGAGAACAAGAAAAATGAGAACCCCTTCCCTCAAGGTTTAAATTACAGAATGAGACATAATTTCAAAGATAGTGATGCAAAGTATTTGGCAAGAGGCATTTTAGATTTTCTCCATCCCCGTGTTCTGGAAAAATAACTCACTAGTTTGAAAAGAAAAACTGCGATGTCACACAGATGCCCTGCTTCTTGTGATTAGAGGTGCTTTCTGTGATTCACTAATGCAGAATTACCTCCCAATTAAGCTCTTCTCTTGTTCAAGCAAATCTGATTCTACCATGGTGTAAATATGTTCATGGTGACATGGAAATGACTTACTGCTATTCTGTTATTTTGTAGTTTTCCATTTGAAGAAAGTAGTTGCCTGTGAGAAAGCATCAGTCCTTACCCATCCTATCAACTATTGCATAAGAGGCAACTCCTGATTATTTACAGGTCTGGTGTGGGACTGTGGAGCAAATAATAACCGTTTTGCCTTGCCATGGGCAACGTAGGAGGTGGTTTCAGGCTGCACATGGCTTGTTGGTGGATGGAACATCAGTAGTTGACCACATATTCTGAGATCTCCAATAATAACTGCGGCAAGTCTATAATTCTTCCTTTTTTTTTTTTTTGGCCGTGCTGTGCAGCTTGCGGGATCTCAGTTCCCCGACCAGGGTTTGAACCCAGGTCACAACAGTGAAAGCCCAGAGTCTTAACCACTAGACCACCAGGGAACTCCCAGCAAGTCTATAATTCTAAAGCAATCTGTAACCCTTCAGGAATGGACACATTTGGATTGCCCAATTTTAAGGATAGCTAATAATTTACTCTTTTAGTGCTGTATAATTTTAATTTCACTGACAACACTTTTTAGAACTTTTTCTACTGTGTATCATTTACATCCTCAATTTGATAATAGAGAATACTGACCACCGGAAAATTCTTGATGACCTGTCCTCCTATGTTGTGACTCATGAGACTAGATGACATACAGTATTATGACTGTTTATTGTAGTTCCATGCAGACTAATTGTTATAGGTTTTTAATAGCATATGATTATTTACCCCATACGAAGTAGCCTCACACTGATGTACTCCCTAGTTTTTAGTCATTACTTCTCCTTATAGTTTTGTACTTGCCTATGGCAGATACTTTATTTCCTTTAATTTGTTTCTTCTAATCTGGGGTAGAAGTCCAATAACCCTGTGTCAAGAGAATTAATAGACTCTTAGATTTATTCTTATCAGTAAAGGGGAAGAGCCCAACATCATGATATTGTCATGACAATTCTGTGAGATTGATTTGAGGGACTCTGTGTTCTCTTATGTTTACACCCTGGCTCTCATCTGGTTTAAAGCCAAGTGAAACTACAAGGTACGGGATTTTAGATTGGAGAGTTGTTTAAGGAACTACTTAGATACCAACTAAAGTCAGTTCGACTCTTACTACAAAAGAAATCTGAAATTGTTAATGCTGGGTTTGCTTTAATATTTTGAGCCGAGGACTCAAATGTTACAGGACTTCACATATAGAACAAAAATGTATGAGGTACCCTTATTTTGGGGTGAAGAGAGACAGTAATACCTGCTAGGAAACTTACATTTTAGTTAAGGTGAGGTTGAACTGGTTTTGATTTTAGATTGGTAATTTCTGGCTGACACCAGCTTCACAGGAGAAGAATGAAAAGACCCATTTTGACCACTGATGAAAACAGGTGTATTAGGTCTCTTTTCAGGTCCTTTACTGGAGGGCCAGTTCCTCATTCTCCCAACAAACAAATGCCTGAGCTGAGGACTGGAGTTACAGGTACTTCCAACACACATACACACCCAGGGGACTTTATTCCGTTCCCCTTCATAGCATTGTCCAAGTTCTAGGCAGCAGCATGGTTAAAGGAGTTCAGTATGTTTACACAGGCACTTGTATAATAGTTCTATCAGAATTCTTAGTCCTTGGGTTTCCCCTCTGTTTTTGTGCCTTCTTTCTCCTCCTTAGAGGGGTTAGGACACTGCTTCAGATTTCCTTTCTAGTTGTCCTGACATAGGGTGTGGCAGTCTGTAGGTGGTTATTATACCCAATGGGACTTAAGGGTCATTAAGTATTGTTTACTGGCCAGTGTCTCATATATTGGAACCAAGGCAGTAGTAACTGCCGACATGACCCACGGCAGAACTGGAGAAACTTGAACTACAGCGGAGCTCTGGGAGGTCGTTTGCTGAGATGGGGAGCCCAAGTTCTAGAGTTAACCATCTGCTTGCTCTCTTTGCCTCACCAGCTAGCCCTGTGACCTGGGATAATCCACTCCCCCTCTGTCAGCCTCCAGGCCACACTTATGAAAGGATATTAAAGTCACTCCCTCACAAGCTCCTTGCAGGGATAATGGCTGAGGCTCCTGGGAGGCCCTCCCTAAATGATTATCCCTGTGGATCTGGTAGGAAGCCAAAAGTTAACAGAAGAGTTCAGGCTAACTCTTCTCCTTTATGTTCTCTAAAAGACTAAATCAATAAATGCTCATTATAAAGTAAATCCACCAGGCTTTGACCTCCCAAGCTTTAAGAAACCAGCAGCCACCACCCACGCTGTTAGGGGAAGCAATCTCAGTGTACTCGAAATTAAACCACACACATTAATGATTCACCCATTCTACTTAGACCTGACCGAGACCAGCAAGACAGGACCAAGAGAAGCTGGTAGCAACAGGGTCTGACCAAATGAAAAGTGCAAGAGGGAAACACAGATAGCAGCTGAACGGCCTCTAATACCTGCAAAATGGTCTGCTTCTGAAGGTGACATTGTCCAGGTGGGTCCTGACAAGGGAATCAGCAGAACCACACAGCGAGCTGCCAGGCAAGCGTTCGGAAGAACAAGTTCCACACCTGTAACAATAAACCCTCCTGGCCGAGCACAGGCACCCTTGATGGGAGCTGAAATGAGGAACTGGCCTCTCCCCTCCTTAGAGACTTTTCTGATTATTTGTTTATGAAAAAGCCTAAGGGGAAGCGAGTTCAGAATCTAAGACCGCCTAAGAAAAAGTCAGGTGATTTTTTGCTACTGAACAGTGACTGATCCAATACAGAAATGAGGCAGTTGTGGCTTTTTACTTCCCCTTCAGGTGCTCAGTGATTATCACTGATAGCTCAGTGAGACAGTTCTAGGTTTCTTATCCGTTTATTTTCTCCGAAGTTCGGAGAAGTCATTCCTTTCAGCCTTACTTTGCTTACATCCTAAAACATTTCATTTGGATCTATTTACTTAGTGGAATGTTTTGATAAGCATTGATTTACAAAAACAAATTCAAATGAATTATAATTCAGTCTAATTTACTGAAGTTGTCATTGTTTAGAATCATTATAGATACTTACTGTGAAGGGTTTTTTAGGTCAGTGGTTCTCAAAGTGGGGTCCCTGGGTCAAAAGCATCAGCACCACTTGCGAACTTGTTTGAAAAGTGAATTCTTGCCCCTTCCCACCTCCTGCATCAGAATCTCTGGGGGTGGGGCCCACAGTTTACGTTTTAACAAGCTTCCCCGATTCTTACAGGTGTTAAAAATTTGAGAGCTGCTGCCTTAGGGGGAAAAAAGGTCTAATTTGTAGATGTTGGCTTTGTGATAACCCTTGCATTTTCTTTAATCCTCTCATGTTGGTCTTATTAGAACATCATTTACTTAGAACTTTGAAAAATGACTCGACCTTCTCCCTTTACCGCCATTGTCACTCACTGCCAAACCCAAAACGCAGTATCAGGGCATTTCTCTATTTTGCCAGCATGGAGCCAGCATAAAATAGTCTGAGCTCCTGCCAAAGCTGTCTAGAAATGAATTGTTTCACTTTAGGAAGAAAGAAAAATGAATAAAGTATTTTAGCTTTTGGTTTGTGGAAACGAAGGTCGTACTTCATCTGCAAGTCCCCTCATGCACATGAGATTGTAAAACTGTCTCTCCTGGGGGATAATGATAATGGGATATTTGACACCCATCCCAAAATTTCCAACCTCTAGTTGTATCTTAAATAAGAAAATTAAGAGTGTACAGAAAGGTCACAAAGGATTATCAGGAAAAAAAATAGTGCAACCTCTAAAGAGTAAAAGGGACAGGGAAGCATTGGATGGGGAAGGGATACCATGATGGAAAGGCGATGCTGGGGGTCAGCTTCTCCTTCAGGACCTAGGGCAACTCCTTGAAACAAAGGTGGCCCTTTATCTCTAAGTGTGACACACAGATGTTCTCTCCAGTACTTCGGAGGGGGCAGCTTTTCTTATGTTTTTGCCTCCTCCTTACTTGATCGTGGTAAGTCTTCATTGGGGAGAAAACCACTTGGGATGTGCCCCTTACAAAGTCTAAAGCCTGACAGGCTCTTTTTGTGTCATGAATACCTAGATCTGAGGCTGTACGCTGTGGAATTCTGACTGGTCTTCCAGCTTTTTTTTTTTAATTAATTTTTTAAAATTGGAGTAGAGTTGATTTACAATATTGTGTTAGTTTCTGCTGCACAGCAAAGTAAGTCAGTTATACATATACATATATTCACTCTTTTTTAGATTCTATTCCCATATAGGTCATTACAGAGTATTGAATAGAGTTCCCTGTGGTATACAGTAGGTTCTTATTAGTTATCTGTTTTATAAATAGTAGTATGTATATGTCAATCCCAATCTGACAGTTTATCCCTCCCCCACCTTTCCCCCTTGGTAACCATAAGTTTGTTTTCTATGTCTGTGTGGCCTTCCAGCTTAAAAAAAATCTGACATTAAAAATTAGGAGATTTTAGAGAAAATTTTGGATTGCAAGGATTTTAGAAAAATTAACCATTCTGGCAACACTACATTCATATTCCCACAATTCCATATCTATATAAAAGGACTAGATTTGAGGACAGGCTCCCTGTTTCAGGTAGGACAAACAGTGACCAGTTCACCATACTCTCTGCTTCTCCCAGTCTTCCTTGACACAGGCTGATGCTGTCTCTCATTTGTCTTTGTGCTTGTAAAGTTTTATTTCTTGTAACAGAACCACAAAGAATGGCCCCAAAGCAGAAACAACCCCAGTGTCCATTTCAGTAGAATGTCCATCATCAACAAATACATTGATATATTAAACTCTGAAAGTGAAAGAACAATTTCTCTAGTCCCAAACGTGATGTTCAGTGAAAGAAGCCAGACTGGGTATGTTTCTATTTATAAGAACGACAAGAATGGGCCAAGTTAATCTGTAGTATTAAAAGTTAGAATTGGAAGTTTTATCTTTGGGCAATGGCAGTGACTGTGAGTCAGGAGTGTGACTTCTGGGATGGCTTATATGTTCAATCTCCTGACCTGTGTGCTGGCACTTGGGTGTGTTGTCTTTGTGCCATTCACTGTGCGCAGTTTTCTGTTTACATATGCTTTGCTTGAATAAAAATAAGAGTGTGCCTGTGCAAACAGATTATATCCTGGTTTGCTTACTTGTTTACATGACTTGCTGGCCAATACATGTCTTCGAATTGAAAAATTTCTAAAAAAAAAATTGTTTTCCTAGTGTTTGAAAAGAGGTGTGATTTTTACTTGAACTATTTTTTAGGTTTTAGGGTTATAAAAGTCCAGTGCAACCATGTTTAAAATGATTAATTTCAATGCCTCCAGATACATCTCAGTATCTTTGAGTTGTTTATTCAAGAAAGTTTTCTGGGCAGTACATATTCTGAGCCATTTCATATCTGCTGTAGCATATGAATGCTGGATATAGAATTCTTGCACCACAATATTTTCTTCTAAAAGTCTGTAGACATTTTTATAAGATTTTCAGTCAGCGGTATTTGAGATAGGAAGCCAATAGAATATTTGCTCTTTAGTGGGTACTTTAAACTTTAAAGATTTTTCCTTGTGATGTTGTACATATTGTTTATTAAATTTGTTTCTATATTTTATTTTTTAAAAATTGATTTTTTAATACTTGAAGTTAGAAATGTTCAATCAGCATAGGTCAAAGTGGGTTCAGTTTTGCCTAGGATCTGGTGTGTACTCTCAGTTACTTAAAATACTTTTCCCAAATAAGCATTTTTTTCTGTTATTTGACAATTCTCTCTCTTTCGGTAGTTCTCTTTCTTTAGGGGACATCTGCTATTATCTCATCTTCTCTCTACATTATTTTCATTGCTTTTACCTTCTCCCTTGTAGTTGGGGATAATTTCTTGACATCATTTACTATTTTGCTTGTTCCATTTTCTGTGGAGTGCAAACTGCATTTAACTGCTTCTATAATGACTTTAACGTCCAGTTTACTTTTAAGATAAAGAAGACTATTCCACTGCAATTCTTTTTTATTGTAAATGTTTCCTTTTTCATTATGACAGACTCTAGGTTCTTGAATCATGTTGAAATATGAATTATTTAGTGTGTCATAAACTGAGGTATATGAGACACTCAACTATACACTTGTCTAAAAATTAAAGTAAAAAAAAATCCTGAATCAGATAATTTGTAATTTTTCTATTTTTTGAAATAACTCTATTTCGAAGAAAGGTAGCTCTACTTAGTCATCTTAGAATCTTTTACATTATTCTTATGATGTATAGACTGTTTTACTGAGTTCTGTAGTTATTGTCTTTGCTATTCTTGTAGAGGGATATATTTACTTGCTTGGTGTCCAAGAAAGCATTGGACTGGGTTCTGATAATGTGTGGGTTTATGACAAGGTATCTCAAGTAGAATTTGTTTGAAAGAAGAAATGAGAAAAATGCAATTAAATCATCAGATTGCTTGCTCAGTGATTTTTAAGACGAAAAGGCATGGAGAAGTATCTAGAGCCACAGCTGCAGTCACAACCAGCTCTTTGTGCCATTGCACAAATGCGGGGCAGAGCAGCTCCCCATCGTGCTCAGTCTTCTGCTTGCTGAGACTTTTGTTTATTTTTTGTTGTTGTTGTTGTTGTTTTGCGGTACGCAGGCCTCTCACTGTTGTGGCCTCTCCTGTTGCGGAGCACAGGCTCCGGACGCGCAGGCACAGTGGCCATGGCTCATGGCCCCAGCCGCTCCGTGGCATGTGGGATCCTCCCGGACCAGGGCACGACCCCGTGTCTCCTGCATCGGCAGGCAGACCCTCAACCACTGCACCACCAGGGAAGCCCTGCTGAGACTTTTTGCAAGAAGGAAGTCTGAGGCCTTCCAACACAGAAGCTGTTATCTGTTGGCTGAGGTGAGAGGATCCTAAGGGCTGGGCTTACCAGTGAGTTCTCGACGCCCTCTTTTCTGAGTCTTAGGATAACACCAAACTCACCTCTTTAGGTTGGGGTTTCAGTAAACATTTGTTAGTAGCCTCCCTGGATCCATGACCTCTTCCCCTTTCCAAAGAGTTGTGACTTCCATTTAGGTTTTATGTGTTTCCATCATGATCTTCCATGCCCAGCTTGAAGGGTGGAACACATGGCTTCCAACCCCCTGGCTGCAAGGATTGTTTAGAGGATGGCATGTAAGCTAAGCCAGTCCAATCAATGTGCCTCTCAGGAATTTTGCTGAGAATACAGGGACAAAGACTCTCTTTCCTGATGGATGTGGACGTGGCACTGGAAATGTTGGCAGCTGTCTTAAGACCATAGGGGTGAAGGAGCCAGTCTTAGGATATATCTGACACCAAGGCTGCGAGAGTGGAATTAGAAAAAAAAAACAAAACAAAACTGGGCTTTAGTGACATCATTGAGTAGCTGAGATAGTTCTCATTGGACTCCAGAAAGACATTCTTCTGCATTTATCTTTTCCCAAGTCATTAAGTTTCCTTTATTGTTAAGCCACTTTGAGTCATGCTTTCTTTACTTGCATACAAATGGATCCTCAGTAGTATAGTGGTGTCATTGGGGGTCTATTAGTTCT